CGCAGGAAGCCTCTAAACTACTTGGGTTCCTCCTCCTCCTCTGTAAGTTTCTGCTTCTGTTGGAGAGTCTCCAAGTCCCTTTGCCTTTCATATTTTACTGATGAGCAGGATTGCCTCAGGTCTTGGTGACAACAATAGCTTTAACCTGTCTCAGTTGTGCCCCTTCATTCTGTCCTCAAGTATTTATTTTAAAACCTCATTTTAAAGTCAGGCCTTGTGGCTCACACCTTTAATCCCAGAACTCAAGAGGCAGAGGCTGGAGGAGCTCTGTGAGATCAAGGCCAGCCTGGTCTACTTAGGGTGTTCCAGACCAGTTAAGGCTACAGGGGGACCCTGTCTCACCAAAAAAAAAAAAAAAAAAAAAAAAAAAAAATCCTTAGAATGGGTAATGATAATTAAAAAACTTTAAGAAAGAACCAAAATCCTTTTCTCTGGTAATGGAACCATTTTACATTTCTAATTTTATTTCCATTGTGAACAATGAAAGTACTTTGTATTACTACAGTCATTTGTTTGGCTTTTTTGTTTTGTTTTGTTTTGTTTTGTTTTGTTTTTTGAGACAGGGTCTCCCTATAGCCTCAGCTGGCCTGGAACTTGCTATATAGACCAGGTTGGCATTGATCTCACAGAGCTCCTCCTGCCTCTGCTTCCTGAGTGCTGGAATTAAAGGCCTATGCCACCACACCCAGCCCTTTTTCAGTCTTTTAAAGTTTTCTGAGACTTGTTTTGTGGCCTAGTATAGTCTACCTTGGAGAGTAGTCCATGTATACATTCTGTTGCTGTAAGGTGAATTCTACAATTTTAAATAGAAGTTTTGAGAATTTCATACAACATATTTTTGATTGCATTTAGATACCCTCCCCCATCCATACTCTCCTACTTCCCCACTCCTGCCCAATATCATGTACTCTTACTTTATTTATATATATTTTAAGGCATTTTGAGTTAAACTTGTGTCCCCAGATGCGCTTCATTATGAGTCCATCCACCAGAGCCTGGTCAAACTACCAAGGTTCTCACCCTTACATGAGACTGACTCTTCCCCTCCCAACAGCCATTGGTTGCCAATTAGAGAGTGGTTGGTTACTCCCATAATATTTGTGCTACTATTGCAAAGGTGGGCATATCTTGCTAGGCCAGTTGTTGTAGCTTGCAAGATTCACAGCTGGATAAGGTTGATGATTAATTTTCTCTTCCAGCAGCATGCATAGTACCTTCCATCACTATGAAAACTAGCCAGTAGAGATGAGACTGATGTCAGCAGCAGCTTGACTTCTCTTTGTTTAATTTATAGCTCATGTGTATATGTATTTAACAATAAGACTTTTACCATCAAGTTCTGGCAAGTAGCCAAGAACAGAGACAATGACCAGTATTGTTTGAATGTCTGTGGGACCCCTAATCAACAGCTTCAAAGAAGGAGTTTGTCCTGGCGTTGGGCTTTTACTTTGCTAGCCTATGGTGTCTAGTAGGAGCATTGCCCCCTGTTAAAACTTCTTTTATTCTTTTTGTGTAATGTATATCTCCCCTCCCAGGAAACTTCCCTCTCCCTACCCATGGTCATTTATAAGTTTCCTGATCTCTCTGGATTTTCTTATTGAAACGTGTGTATCTACGATTTCAGAGCTAGCATCCAGCTATGAGAGAGAACATGTGACATCTATCTTTCTGGGTTGAATTACCTCACTCAGGATGATTGATTTCATTTCCATCCATTTACCTGGGAATTTCATAATTTCATTTTTAATGTCCAAATAATATTATATTGTATAATTGCACCATACTTGCAATATTCATTCATCAGTTGATGGACATCTAAGTTGTTTCCCTTCCCTGGATATTACGAAAAGGGCAGCAATGAACATGAATGAACAGGTATCCTTGTAGTAGGATATAGAGTCTTTTGGGTGTATACCCAGGGGTAGTATAGCTGGATCAATGGTAGATCGATTTCTAGCTTTCTGAGGAATCTCCATACTGATTTCTATAGTGGTTACACCATTTTGCACCACTACCAGCAGTGGATAAGAGTTTCCCTTTCCCTATAACATTGCCAACATTTGTTATTGCTTCTTTATTGGATATTAGTCATTCTGAATGGAGCAAGATCAAATCTCAAATTGGTTTTAATGTGCATTTCCCTGATGGCTAAAGATACTGAACATTTAAAAAATCATTTCTCAACTATTTGTGTTTTATCTTTTGGGAATTCCCTGTTCAATTCCTTGCTCCAATTTTTAATTGAGTTGTTTTTGGGTGTTTTGATGTTTAGTTTTTTGAGTTCTCTGTCAGAGGTATAGCTGGCAATTTTTTCCCCATTCTGTAGGTTGCCTCTTCAGTCCAATGATGTTGCCCTTTGCTGTACAGAAGCTTTTAGTTTCATGAGGTCCTCTTTGTCAGTTGTGGATTAGTGCCTCAGTTGTAGGAGTCCTGTTCAGAAAGTCTTTTCCTGTCCTATAAGTTGTAGTGTATTCACTGCTTTATTTATTTACTTTTGGTCTTTTTGAGACAAGGTCTCCCTGTAGCCCCAGCTGGTCTGGATTTGCTAATGGGGACCAGGCTGGTGTCGAACTCATAGAGATCCGCCTGCCTCTGCCTCCTGAGTGCTGGGATTAAAGGTGTGCACCACCACGCCCAGCTGATTATTTTTATTTTATATGTATGAGTGTATTGCCTGCACGTATGTAAGTGCACCCATGTCATACATAGCTCACAGAGGTCAGGAGAGGGTGTTGAATTCCTCTGGAACTAGAGTTATGGATGGTCGTTTGCCACCATGAGGGTGCTGGGATTCAAATCTGGGTCCTCTGCAAGAGCAGCCAGTGTTCTTAACTCAGTGCTCTTAATGGCGAGCCATCACTCAGCCCCCATTTGAATTCTAAGATTTCTAAGTTATCATTTTCTTGATTTAGCATTCAGTTGCTAATAAACCTTTGACTCTTCCAGAGTTCTACCAGGTATTTCCCCCCTCTGGGTGGAAGATAGGCCTTTGGATCTATTCCCCAGACACATTTTGCAGATATTACTTTTAGTCCCAATAATGTCCATACCAAGAAAGAAATCAAGAAAACAATGCCATTCATAGTAGCCTCAAAATAAGTATTAAATACCTAGGAATAAATATAACCAAGAATTGGAAGACCTCTCCTTTGAAAACTAAATGCTGAAGAAAAAAATTAAAGAAGGCACTAGCACTAGAAGTAGGGTACCCCTCTCGTGCTCATTAGTCAGGAGAATTAATATAATACCAAAAGCAATCTACAGATTCAGTGCAGGCTCCATCAAAATCCAGCAGCGTTCTTCATAGTACTAGAGAATAACCCTGAAGTTTACATGGAAGCATCAAATACCCCAGACAGCCAAGGCAAAGCCATTTCGAGCAGAAGCAGTAATGCTAGAAGAATTGCTATGCCTGGTGTCAAATTAACTGCGTGTTAGGTTTAGGGGCACAGAATGCAGGAACAATGGTAGAGAAAGAGACCATACCTGACCTCAGACAAAGCTGCATTTATTGAAGCACCTCGGGGAAGAACAGCGATCAGCTGCCTTCCTGCTGGCATGCTGGAATCAGTTGCTGCCCCCAGGAAGGAGCCTTTGGGGATTTTTCTTATAGGATATAGCTGTGACTGGCTGACTGCATGCAGGTCAGGGGCACTCTTGAGAAGGTTATGACCCCCTGTGGCCCCCTTCTTCCTGGCACCGTTTGCTCTGATTTATCTTGAGAGACAGAGGGTTTATGATCTCTTGTTGGGACCATTTGCTCAAGGAGACAGGCTGTCTTGGGAAACAGGCTGTCTCAACAAACAGTCCTCTCAGAAGGGAGGGAAGTGGCTGATTGATAATGTGGCTTTCTGCAACCAGGGCATTCTATCACTGCAGAACCCTTAGTGACAAAAGAATCATGGTGCTGTCACAGAAACTATGCATACCTTTCATATTGTTCAGGAGATAATGACAAGGTGGAAGGGGCATGTATTCATTAATTACTTAATACAGATAACTTTTTAGAATACTTTCAGTCTGAGTTTAGTTGAATCCTCAAATAAAGAACCCATGTATACAAGGACTGATTATAATTTGTTCATAAGTTTATAATGTACATATAAGAATCTATATTAAAAACACTATAATATTTTAATAATATGATAATACATGTTCTAGAGGCTATTTCCTTTATTTCTTTGAAAAAATTATGTCCTTTGGGGCGTGGTAGTGCATGCCTTTAACCCCAGGACTGGGGAGGCAGAGGCAGGCGGATCTCTGTGAGTTCAAGGCCAACCTGGTCTACATAGTTCCAGGCCATCTGGGGCAACAGAGAGACCCTGACTCAAAGACCCCCCCCCCAAAAAAAAAAACAATTGTGTCTTAATTGTAGGTAAAACTTTAAAGATATCATGTGCTTTTTCGTGCTAATGTTTTTAATTCACAATCTCTTGCTTTGGTTTGCCCTTTAATCAGAACTGATTTTTAGTGAGAAATGTATTTTATTTAAAAAGTTCTGCTGGGCTGGGTATGGTGGCACACACCTTTAGTCCCATCACTCTGGAGGCAGAGATAAGCGAACCTCTGTAAGGTCCAGGCCAATCTGGTCTACATAGTGAGTTCCAAGCCAGCTGGGGCTACAAGGGATACCCTATGTCAAAAACACCAAATAAAAAGAGGCTGCTGGGCATGGTGGCACATGTCTTTGGTTCCAACACTCAGGGGGCAGAAGTAGGAGGATCTCTCCAAGTTCAAGAGTAACCTGGTTTACATAGTAAGTTCCAGGTCAGCCAGGGCTACATAGTGAGACTTCTTTGGTGTTAGTACTGGGTACTATTCTCTATTTATAACATAGGTATTCTCTATTTTAGATATGCAAACTCCTTTTATTTTCATAAGCAGGAATAGTCCTCATAAGTTTAAATACAATATTGTTTGTAGTTATGGCTCATGTGTGAATGTAAAAGTCAAAGCAAAATATGTAATAACTTTTTGTGGTTTGTGTTTTTCATTTACAGCCTTCAAGCAAAATAAAGGTACCTGAGGAGAATTTCTTCAATGTTCCTGCCTTCTTAACTGTCTCAGGGCAACTTCACCTGGAAGTGATGGCAGGGTACAGATTTTTATTTTCTTTTGCTTATGTGAATTGCGATTTGGGAGAGGGTGAAATAGTATGCTCAAACCTAATAATTGTAATTATTCAGTATCAGTCTTAAAAGTAGATTTAGATGGAGAGTTTGAAAATGTCCAAGTTTTTTACTAACAATAGAAATCATATCAGTTTAGACTTCTAGGGTTTTGTTTTTGTTTTTTATGCATTGCTAAAAATGTATTTTTATATGTATTCAGTGTATTGCTGAATGTGTGTACGTGCACCTGTGTTATCCAGTGCCCTCAAAGGTCAGAAGAGGGCATCAAATCCCTTGAACTGGAGTTAAGGATGGTTGTTAACCACCATATGGGTGCTGGGAATCAAACCCGGGTCCTCTGCAAGAGCAGACAGTGCTCTTGACTGCTGAGCCATCTCTTCAGCCCTCAGACCCTTATGTTTCTAGTAAAAATTATAATACTAAAAAATACAAAGTTGTGATTTTTTTCTTTTTATTATTCTTGTTTAAATCCCAGCCATGTAATCAAAATTTAAATATAATTAATCATATATATGAAGTAAAGGCTATTGATAGCTTGTTCCTGAGCCACATATTAGCTCATTTTACTTAAAGAAATATTAGATCAGGTGAATTTCTGCCACTGTCAGAAATTTGGGGAAATTTCTATGTATTTGTACTTTGGACCCAGTTTTCTTTCTTTAAAATACAAGATTAGGGCCAGGCATGGTGGCACACACCTTTAATTCCAGCACTTGGGAGGCAGAGGCAGGTGGATCTCTGTGAGTTAAAGGCCAGCCTGGTCTACATAGTGAGTTCCAGGACAGCTGGGGCTACAGGGAGACCCTGTCTCAAAAAGACCAAATAAAATAAAATAAAATAATACAAGATTAGACTAGAAAATCTTTAAGTTCTTTCTTAGTCTCATGTTTTGTCATTCTGTGGCTAATTTCTTTTGCTTTGCTTTGTTTTGTTTTGGTTTTTTCTGAGATAGGCCCTCCCCAAAGCCCTAGCAGGCCTAGAATTCACTATGTATAGTGAATCTCACAGAGATTTGCCTGCCTCTGCCTTCTGAGTGCTGAGATTAAAGGTGTGTGCCACCACACCCAACTTCTGTGGCTAATTTCTTGATGCTGACCCAACCAGTTATTGAATTGCCTTACATCCCTGTTTTCCTCTGTAGGAAATACTTAAAAATCTCATCAGAAAATAGTTTAAATGAAAAGAATAGAATTTTGGTGAATGTGTTTCCCATTGTTTCTAAAATGCACAGGCTAGGAAAACTCATAGTAGTGTAGTAGAGTGGATTGCATGTTTTTTGTGTACACACTTCTCTGGTAGGATGGAAAGTCAATCTGAAGACGATCTTGAAAATAACTACTTGTCAAGTGTGGCAGTGAATGCCTGTGATCACAGCACTCAGGAGGCAGAGGCCATCCTGGGCTATCATAGCAAGACCTTGTGTACAAAAATCGCTCCCAAATAACATATAATTTATTTTGATTCTTTTCTGGTTTATCTTTGAGATACAAAGATGTTATTTTGCAGTTACAAGTCATTGACAGTTATCAGAATACTATGTAGAAAAAGTATTGTCATTATAGCACTGTTTGACCAGAGGATTTGCAGAGCTGACTGTTGGTAAAGTCATGTCAGACATGTCATGGAATTTTCCTTATACTTGCCAAAGTATAATTCAAAAAAATTCAAGCCATCATTCATGCAACTGTAAGTGAGCATATATCAGAGGCCTTGTTCAATTCATTATTATTTACTAAGGGACCAAATGAAAGAGACTGTTTCAAGAACATCTGGCAAACCATTAGACCCTAATCTCTGGGATTATTTCTTGTAACTGAAAGAAATTATTTGTAACTGTATAAGACAAAACCTACAAGTTAATATGTAACTTCATTTAATCTAGGGTACTTCATTTGACAGTAAATAAAATGATGGACCAAGTGCATTCTTCTAAGTAATAAAACAACCCTTTAATAGGTCTGCGTTTCCATATCACACTGAAAGGACTTTTTTTTTTTTTTCACTTTATGTCTGTGTTTTGCCTGCATGCATCCATGTCTGCAATGCCTGTAGAGGCCAAGAAGAGGGTGTCGAGTCCCTAGAACTAGAGTTACAGATGATTGTTGGTGGCTGTAGGGGTGCTGGGAACTGAACCCAGGTCCTCTGCAAGAACAGCCAGTGCTCTTAACCACTGAGTCCTTTTTGTAGCTTGACATTACTTTTTTAAAGTGGTCTACCTTTTGCCATATATCCAAGGTATAGTTAGCCTTGGGTGTGGGGGGTCTTTTTGAGATAGGGTCTCCATGTAATCCCACCTGGCCTGGAACTCACCGTGTAGACCAGGGTGGCCTCAAACTCACAGAGATCCACCTGCCTCTGCCTCCCAAATGCTGGGATTAAAGGCATGCACCATCACGCCCCACTAATTAGCCTTTTTTAAAAAGCCTTAGGCTTTTTTTTTTTTTTTTTTTTTTTTTTCTAACCAGCCTTTCAAGCCAGGCATGGCAGCACTTGCATAATCCCAGCATTTGGCATTTGGAGAAGGAGGACCAGTAGTTCAGGGCCAGCTTTACCTACATAGCAAGCTTGAGACCAGCATGGGCTATAGCATACCTTGTCTCAAAGCAAGCAAAGTCATCTTTCAGTATGCATTTCTTTAATCTATGTTGTTAGAGGCAAGGTGTCACTCCCTGGGATCTCGATATGGGAAATGTTAAGTTTACCAAAAATTTGTTCCTGTATTATAAAACCACTAATGTACATAAGCATGCCTCTTTCCCAGTAAAGTACAGTGATCCAAAAATACAATGTGTAGTGAAATTGAGATAGGATTAAATTAGTGGAATATTAGGTCTTAAATTTATATGTTTCTAATAATGTTATTCAAATATTCCTAGTTTAATATGCATAGTTCGAGGACTGTTGATGTACAGTACATCATGTTTCTGATTAATGCATAATTTACTCCGATGAGAGATCTTTAGTGTTCTTTTCCTTGTTGTGTGTGTGTACGTGTGTGTTATTTAAAAGACTTTTTAAATGGCATAAATGTAGTTAAATTTAGAAAGCTAACATTTTCCGAAGGACCTCTATGTTAGTTTAGTGGATTTCCATTTTCTTTCTTTTTTTTTTTAAATTTTTTAAAATACTCTATTTTGGAAGAGTTCTTGGATAGAAACAAGTTGCAAAGACAGTGCAGTCTTTACACATTCCCCGACCACATCTTCCATTTCTGTGGTGTATTTTCCAAAATTCAGAACCCAGTGTTAGTGCATTGCTATTAACCAAATTCCAGGCTTTATTTGGATTTCACTAGTTTCTCTATTAATATCTTCTTTTACCAGGATTCAGTTCAAGACATTGAAACACAGTTGTCTTGTTCCCAAGTCTCCTATCTGTGGCTGTTTCCCAGTCTTCATTTTGCATGACCTGTAGAGTGTAACCTAATCTGGGTTTTTCTCACATTTTTCTCCTGGTTATACTGGGTTTCTCTAGGTTTTTGGAAAGAATGGCAGAGGGGAAATGCTGTTCTCATCACTATAAGGGAAGATGTGGCATCTGTGAAGTGATGTTAACTGCATTCTTTGATAGAGTAGTGGTTATCAAGTTTTCCTACTGAAAGTGCTGTGTTCCTCTTTCCCTACTCTGTTTTTTGTCATTAAGTCTATTCCTTTGTCTCTGGGGATGGGAGCTTAGGGTGTAGGAAGTGGAATTAACAGAAGCTCCTGACAGGAGGGAAGTATTTGAAATTCCGCATGGAAGGTTTGTTCACTTTTGTATAGTCAGTCATTTTACATCAGAATGGACTCAAGCATATATGTTTTATAGTTTAAGTTTTTCAATATTGTATTATCTACTTATATCAATTTTTTGTAAGTTTTTATTTAATTTTCATGTATTTCATATAGAACATCTTAATCATTTTTATACCCCCTTCTCCATTGGCACCCTCCCATAGCCCCCCCAACTGGAATTCATAGATTTTGTCATTTGTTAAGGCCTATCATGTCAAGTTAGTATCCCTAGATGTCCTTTAGTACAAGTTCATCCACTGGGGTCTAGTCAGCCTATATAGGGTCCCTCCAATTAAGAAGATCAATTTTTCCTCTACTTAAACAATTTTAGTTATAGAATACTCAAGATCAAGTCTTATGTCCCTTTGACATGTCTCCCATTCTATGAGCACTTTCATATCATCTGATACTGCAGGATTGCAGGATGCCCCAAATTTTCCTTTTGTTTTTAGAGTTGTTTACCATCTTTATTATTAACCACTTCTCTCCTTTTCTTTTTTTGAGACAGGAAAGGATTTTCCTGTAGCCCTAGCTGGCCTGGAACTCACTTTGTAGATCGAACTGGCCTCAATCTCACAAAGATTTGCTTGTCTGTGCCTCCCAGTACTAGATCTAAAGGTGTGGGACACCATACCCAGCCAGTCCCTCCCTTCTTTTGATTATCACCTTAAGTCCATAGTTCACATGAGAGTTCATTCTTAGTGGTTGTCCTATTCTGAGGGTTTTGACACATGAATGATAGCACGTATTCACTATGATAGTATCATACAGAATAGTTTCATTGCAATGAAAAGCCCCTCTGCACCACCTGGTCATCCCTCCTCCTAGTCCCTGGTCACCAGCTGTCTTTTTAGTGTTTCCTTGGTTTTCCCTTTTCTGTAATGTCATGTAGTTGGACTCATATAGTACAGGCCTTCTTTTACTTAGTAATTTGCCTCTGTGTCTTTTCATGACTTGATAATTCAGCTCTTTTAATGTTGAGCCATGTTCTATTATCCATATATAATACTAAACAGTATTATAGTTTAAGTCCATTCACTCATCAAAGGACATCTTTTTGTTCTCTCCAAGGTTGGGCACTTTTCTCTGGCTTATTTTTCTTACTCTAGCACCAGAATCAGCCATTTCTCCAAGAGCCCTGGTTCCTTTTATTAAAGGATGGAGTTTAGGAGCTGAGCTTTGGCCACTGG